CAAATGCGTTTGGTCAAGTGACAGTTGACATCCATCTCAGATTGGACAGGATGGATCTCCAAGCTGTCAGCGGAATCCATTCTCAGCTGCAGGCGTTCGTGCTTCGCTCAGACTGTTTCGGACATGGTCAAGATTCAGACGAAGATTCGTCTTTTCAACACGAAACTGGTGAGAGATAATGGAATTTCTTGTCGAGGTTGGACGCTCCCTCTGCTCCCCACGCATATCGTTCTGCCAGGTTGCGCAGCCGGGACTAGCGGGACTCTTAATTCCAGTGGGGAGTTCCGGTGCATCGAACGGCGGCGTCAATCAGCTGGGCGGTGCGTTTTCTAATGGCAAGCCTCTACCGCTGCACGTCAGAGTAAGGATTCTCGAGATGGTGAGTGAAGTCGATTTCGTGTGTACGGGGAAGGAGGAACCAGAGGGGCAATCCGATCATTGAGGGGCCGTTTCCTCTCGACTTCTACCTAATCCAACCGGTGTGCGTTCTTGCTCATCAGGCCTTGTTGGGTTTCCGACCTTGTGACATTTCCCGACGACTCCTAGTGTCTCACGGATGCGTCTCTAAGATCTTGTCGAGATTCGCAGAGACAGGCTCCATTTTGCCAGGAGCCATCGGTAAGTTATGTGAGTTTCCCATCGCGTTTTCCGTGTCCCCTTTTCGACTCTATACCGAGAGATCCGTTCCTATCGCTGCATCGATCCCTTTTCTGAGGCACCTTCTGAGCGAAGGAGGCGAATTCTAGGTGGCTCGAAACCACGAGTGTCTACTCCATTGGTCATTGAAAAGATTCTCCGTTACAAAAAAGAAAATGGATCACTGTTCGCTTGGGAGATTCGTGAACGCCTACTTAGAGTGAGTATTCAATCCGCTAAGTCTCTCTGGAAAAGAAAAACGGAGTCCATCCATGACTTCCTTCGACGCTTTTCCCATAGGAAGGAGTTTGTCCGCGGGAAGCGCTGCCCAGCGTTTCCAGCATAAACCGAATTCTCCGCAAGAAACAAGATCCCTCCGGAGTCCCTCAGCGACATCAGAGGTACGATTTTTCCGAAAGGGTGTTGGTAGGAAACGTCCGTATCCTCTAAAGGAGCGGAACTCGACTCACCGATGGCCCCCACGATTGAATTATAGACGCCGACTCCATAGGAATTGTGAAGAGGAAACGGTGCTCCGCAATGTATCTCCTCCTTTGGTGACGTTGGGATCTCCCGTGAGGAAGTCGTTCAGAATCGATGATATTCTGTAAGGACTCCCGCGAATTTACGGCAATCAGAAGACCGCATCTCATATCGAATCTGCCCTGGACATCCAAGACCCTTCCTTCATCTTCGGGAGAAGATGACCACGTTCAGGAAACTCAGTACATAGTGCAGACTAGCGAGCGATCGATGGTCAGACCAAACCGCAGCGTTTCGGATTACCACGGCCAGAGGTAGAGTTACCACATCCTAAGCCCCGCTCTTAGATGGTCGATGGAAAAACAAGAGCGGAAGCTCATGACTTGTGTTCCTACGGCTGTAGTCCGGGGTTACTCGCTTCCAGATGTTTCCCCGAATAAATGCTCGGCTCGAAGAATGAGTCGAGCTTTGATGTTCTCTGCCGACTCATGAAATCATTGCTTTTTTGAAACATGCCCAAAAGAGTCGGCTTCCGGTCGCGTCACCAGCTAACTCATAATCCGAATAGACCGCTCGGATCGGAAACTCCCCCGGAAAAGTCGCGGGACCTCGCTTCCAAGTGCCGCACGTGAGACGGATCCGGCGTGTGAAGTAATAATAAATAGCATGTTTATTAAGGAAACTGCGATCGATCTTCTGGAGATCATCGGGTGGGGATTTCGTGATGACGGAGCCCAAGGCATCGATCGCAGATCAGATCTAACCGAAGGCGTCGCGCTGGTCCATTACGATCGAGTGATGGTCTAGAAGTGGAAGACGGTTCAAGTGGTTTGGTGAGCTGACCGTCGGTTTGCCTGCCTCCCGTTCAGCCTGGTTTTAACCATCCTTGTGACCGCCGAGCTTTCGGAGTCAGAAATAATATCAACTCTTGCTCCTCGAACACTATGACGGGGGATATTCATCGTCCAGTAGAAAGAAGGCCACTGCGAAGTATGCGGTCACGAAGAAAGCGTAGAGTAGTGGCATGATAATCCTACAAGTGATGTCGAGACCGTTGCTTCGGATGTCATTCATCATCGAGTGGAGCTTCTCGCTCATCAGTTCACGCTTGAAAATACTTTGCACCACGACAAATTCGAGCAACGATAAGAGCACGAATGCGATGGATACGCCGCTGAATATGTCGATGTACGTCGTATAGTCCCCAAACGTCGAAGTGTGGGCGGCGACTTGCTCTATGGCAGCTGCCCCGAGCAGATCGATCATAAGCACGACGATTCTGACCGGAGAGCACTGGATCCAGAAGGACAAACTCGCCACGACCACACAAACGATCATCGGAGCGTAAAGTCGGATCACATACGGTGTGATCATACGTTTCAGGGTCAAGTTCACTTGGAGGCAGCTGTATACACCGATGGGGGTCGTCGACGTACAATTTTCCGTTTCGAAGCTCCGCAAGGCGAAATCACTGACGCTGAAAGCGTGTTTATATACCACGACAGGCTGGGGGTTCCACATGAGCTGTAGCTGCGGGAGCGAGGCGGTCCACGACGTTATGATCAGGGGGCATTTTTGAATGTCGTATGGGAAGTTCTGCAAGTCCATCGGACATGCGAATTCGGCGCTAACTCGTTGATTCAAATGGACCATCCCGGAACGTCCCACCCGGATTTTCGAGTCGTCCCTGAGCGCTCCTCGGAGCTGGGATGGATTTAGCTCGTTCTCGAAGATCACATCGGGTATCCAGACCTGATCAACCGGATAACTCAGATACTCCTCCTTCGATGTGTGAGCCAAGCGCTCATCGATCCACGTCGTTCGAACCAGCAGTTGGCATTTGTACTTGCGATCGACCGTAGACACGTACTCGAGGTTCCTGACGCTGATTCCCACTCCGACTTCGATACTTGCCGCGGGCCGCTCATATTTGTCGTAGCCGCTGGGCGCCTGCTGTTGGTCACGCGCCGTTCGAGCGGAGCACAGCGTTAAACAGAGAAACACTTCGAATGCCAAGAGAGCCTTCATTTCGGCGACAACGTCGAGAAGGAGATGTGTTCTAGCTGTCGAGGGAACGGGAAAGGAAGAGAGAGCTAGTAAGCGAGCGTTACGCTCTGAGAGAGCTTGCGGGCAAGGTTACGAACACTCACCGGAAACTCAGTGGGCAGAGCCGACCTAGAATCTAGACACCACAAGATGGGCCCGGATGTCCGATGAGCATCGGAAGGATATCAATAAGGATCCCATGTTTAATCGAAGCATACTCATCCACGTTTATTTTTTTTCTTGTTTGCTTTCCACGAATACAAGAATGAGAACGTTCTCTCCTCGAAGCCCCAAAAAAGCATATTGAGAGGTTCATTTGTCCCAATCAATCATGGTACATATTTGTTTCTGGAGCACCTTGATCCGATCTCAGATCGACTGACAAGGAACGATACAAACTCACGATCCCTTACTGGCGAGGGCATTTCCGAACAAAGATTAGACTCACTCTGGGAGGGGCTCCGATTCATAATTGATTCCATGGCATCATGGAATGCATTGCATCACTACATAAAAATCCTGAACTCGGAATGCTACCAGAGTGTTGATTCACTCCGATAGTCATTCGATATCTGATTCTGCACAGTTGAGATGAAGATGTGGAAATGACGGGGTGATGAGCGATCATCGAGAGACCAGAAACCATGGCAATTGATGGAATGTCCTCAAGGAGGCCGGCTGCGCGCTGAATTCACAGAGATTTCTCTTTCGAGGATTGTTGTCCATGCTGTCCAACTTCGTAGCCCATGAAGCGTTGCAAGCTCAGGATCGCGTCGGTCGGAAGCAAACTGTCGAAGACAATCGGTAAACGACAGAAACGATTTGACTATCAACAGATCCGACTGAAGCGGTTGATACACCGCTCGCTTCCCGACGCTGCTAAAACGGCGTGGTTCAGGAGGAGAAGGGAGGAGACATCAAATTGTCATATGAATGCGAGGAGCAGAAGGGCTCTTGATCACGCCTTTTCCAATTGATTTGACGGAAAAAAGGCGAGAATCGCTGCCTCCGGGGTGTACAATCGGCGGAATATCCGAGAAAGCGAAGCTAGGACTACCCTTCACATTGATTAGGACCATATTCATCATAAGATGAGCATTCAACAACATTCAACGCACCTGCAGAGCTTGTTCAGCACCCCGACGCGTGTCGGTATGATCACCTCCCTGCGATTCTCGAGCATGGCGTCCACCAAGCCATTCGCCACCTCCTCCGGCTCCAGAAGCGGCATCGCCCACGGGAAACGACTACGCGGGGCTTCGAACATTGCTGTCGAGAACAGAATCAGTTTTCCGCCAGAACAAGATTCGCAGTCAAGAGTTCGGTCCCGAAGACGGCGATCTTCGTCGACAGAACGAGAGGATAGGCTTCCCTGGATACTCACTCGTTTTAATCGCCAGGGGGCAGACAGTGGTCAGATGGATTTTGCCACCGAATCCTTGCGTGTTGAGCTCTTCTTCGAGCGCGGACATGAGCCCTCGGACGGCGAACTTCGAGGCGCTGTGAATTTCTGCGGATTGTAGTGTCAAATGCTCGCGGAATTCCCCCAAGACCGGTAGACCCATGCTGCCAAGCTCCTCAGACTCACCAGTAGTCCGTGAGGTAAGCCGTACCCAGCATTCCAGCTATCGACGATGTGGCCACAAAATGGCCCTCTCCACGCTCCTTCATTGATGGCAAGAACTCACGGATCATCTAGGGACGTGAAGGTTGGCCCTGAACCAGGATTCCGAAGAGAGTTTCGATTCCGGAACAAAGTGCCGGTGAATATGTCTTCTCTTCTTGGAAGTTCACGGCTGATCGAGCTTACCCATATATGAGAGAGAGTATTCACTTCAAAATTCCGACGGACTCGATGAGGCTCAAGAGCGAGAATCTCCTGGCAGTTCACAATCGCTGCGTTGTTTATGACAACATCGACAGGACCCACCTGTAATATTTAGAATCCCTATTCATGCCTCAATTCAAGCCTTGATGAGAGCGTTCGAGACTCCCGGATCAATCGTGAATTCCTACTCGATCCGGTCGAGTATCGTGAGCGAGCTGTGGGTCCGGCTCCACACGGGGTCGGGTGATAGCTACTGGAGGAACTGACCTCACGTTTGATCCAATCGTGCATCTTCTCTATCTGATCTTCCTTTGAAATATCACAAGCGTACGACCATGCGTCGAAGTTCGCCGCTCGGATTTCAGCGGCAGCCTTGTCATTTTTTTCCTGTCGGACAGAGAGACGACCAACTTAATTTGGATGGCTTGCTCATCAAGTCCTCCCGCTTTGTTCGGGTCCGGTCCCGACGATGCTCTCCCTCATGCGCGAGTCGGGATACTTGATCTATCTCCTCAATCTCGGAAGCTTTCACGAGAGCTATTCTTCTGACTCAAGATATCGATCCTAGTAGAGCTTGCTCCCCGAGGTTCCGACCTCTTCGATACCGGGTTAGATATTCGTGGTTTTCGATCCCCGTTCACTCGATGTGACCAGACTTACTTTATCGATGTCCACGAGCACACAGCGAGCTCCCAATCGCGCGATTTTCTCGGCAACAAGGCGTCCGATTCCTTGAGCGGCGCCGGTCAAGACGACTGTTTTGTCTCTCAGGGACTTGGAAGGGCGGGGGATCACGAAAAACGCTAGTTCTCTGAGTATAATCCACATGACGGTCAAAATGAGACCGAGCACCTCCGCGATAGTCTTCGCGGTTGATGGCGTCTCTAGCATGGTCGATAGGGGGACGCTCCTGCAAAAAGCAAGCGAATTCATCGGACTGGTGGGGAGAGCCGACGAGGAGCTGGGCCCCTCTTCGAGAAGTCCGCCACAAGTTTGGTTACTCCTGAGGTTGTGGCGATCGTTCTACGCGGGGCTGCATGGGTTCCTTGAGGTGTCGGTCACTCAGCTATCCGAATTCGCAAGGAAGATCTCAGCATCGGAGACATTCGGACGAAATTCCTGCAATCCGGACCTTCGCCGGCCGGTATCGGCGTGTATTGAAAATATTCAAATTCAGGCGCAACCATCTCCTCGAGCTCGAGACTCTGACATGCGCTATGTCAAAGATCAATCGGGTTTGGGGGTGCATGGATTTCTCAGCAAGTCCCGAGTGGTGCACGGACAGGGGAAGGTTGAGAGCCACTGCTCTAGACTCTCGTATGCCCTTCCGTGGAGCAGGAAAAGGAGTCGGACTGAGGCCGTTCCTCGGGTCGAGACGGATGAGCTCAAAAATCGATCCAAATCCCCTCTCCCGGCGTCGCGAGACACTACGCCTCTGGAAGCACAAACTTCCTTCCCAGCCCGAATCCACGTAGAGTGCTCAGACCGGGATGAGCTAGAAGTCGAATCCAGTTCTAGCAATATCGCTCGAAATTCGCTACGTGCGTCTCACAGAGAAGCGCTCTGGTGGTGGATAAAACCTTGAGTCAGCTTCCACTTCATTCCCTCGCTAGACAGCCAACGGCGAACAAAGTACCGTCGACTCCCGGTTTACCGCCGACATCTTGGGAATCGTCGTATCTCAAGTCGTCCCTGATGGGCGAGAGATCGCTAGGAACGCCGTCGCGTGGAAGAATTACTAGATGTCGCGCCAGGTCATCAATCGCATCCTGCTCTGCTCAGCAAATTAACTGCTAGATTCCGCCGTTCCGGAGCTCGACAGTCGGAAATCATTGCATGCAGTGGGCATACTGACAATATCAGAAGACGGAAACCTTTCCCATTTTGGCGGGGCTTGCGACTCAAGACGAATATGGGGACTGAGGTCTGGCCGCGGGCGGAGGGCTGTAGCTAGTAGGCCATGAACTCCCGGAGAATGAGACCTGAGCTTGCGGTCTTTCTGGGGGTTGACAGGCACGAAGCTCGGAAACTCTCTCGGGACTCTTCGCGTTACGTTGACTGCTTGAAAAAACCTCGGCCAACATCGCATACAAGGTCCGATTGATCTATCAACGTCGCGCCTCCCCGCGCCCCCCGGCGACACCAGGGAAATTCCCTCGCGCTTCCACTCAGAATCGGGACGGAAAATTTTGTCGCCACCCAAATTCAGAGATTTCCACTCAGAGCTCACAACATGCGATTCGCGGGGTCCAGAACGGATAATGACGACTTTGGGCTCAGGCCACGAGGACCATCGTGACTTGTTCAGTAGTACATTCTCCTTCAGACCCGGAGTAAAGGTCCTCCGAGCTGAGCTTCACTCGCAAAAAGCAGCTCCTCCGGGAGCTCTAGTCATGCATATGGGAGCATCGGCTCGACATACAGCCTAGCGAGGGGGAGCCGAGTTCTACGCGACTAGGGGAGGCGGTATAGTGAGCGGCGCGTTATAAGAAATGTTGGACAATCTGGAACAGCTCGATGACATAAATACCGAGGAAGTTACGAGGAAGGAGGCAAAAGCCTTATGTCCTGACCACAACGTTCACTGTCACTCTGGAATCCCTGACGGAAATGTCAGCTATATACGGGGAGACGTTTCACCATCAGGGCCTGCCGGAAAGTTTACAAGGTAATTCGAATCCTCTCAGTCAGTTGTGCGATGGTTTCTAAAAACAACAGACAACTCAGCGGATCGAGAAGTTCATTAGGATCCCAAATTGAGCGCTCCAAAGATCACAATGAAACGTACCGAATCACTCTATGTCTCCAAGTTTCGATCGACCGCAGAAACCGGCACCGAATAACTGAAAGTTACAGCTGACGCATCAGCCCCGCGAAGCAGCACAACAACTCGAAAAGAAAACCATGAGTATTCTGACCGGAGGAGGTTCCTTACACAGACGCACAAACTGACGCGACCGCGACGGTCAAGAGAGGGAGAAAGCGGTGAAAAGGGAAAACGTGTGCCAGATTCATAGAGCTCTTGGAAGGTGCTACCGCGGAGCAGTAGTGTCAGGATAAGCGTTTCTACCTCGAGCATCTACTTCTCGGCTTTTGGGGACGATATTGACCGAATCAGCCGAACACAGTGAAGCCTTATCCGGAGACACGCTCACTCGACGTGGTTCTCGCCTGGCCGATGCCGTCTACGACAACTTCACTACACGGGGATAGCGCTCATCGAGCCGCTGTAGCTCGGAAGCGCGTCCGCGGGATGCAGCTTTCTCGTGGCTCGTGGTCATTCTCTAGGAGTCCTTCCCCGATCCCATAAGACAAACAAGTTTTATCAGGAAGTTCGCGATGGAAGCTTGATAAAGCGGTGATCAAGACGAGATATCGTTAGCCTATTCTTCGTCATGGGTCATCCATCCTCGGTCTCCCGTCTAGGCAGGCTGCCTGGGCTTGAGTCACTCTTCAGGTCGTTGAGGAGGCATTCGATATCGGTCAGATGCGTACTCAAACCCCTCCTAGAGCTTGAAGTCGGATTTTGGAGGGCGGGGGAGCTCCACGCCCGCCTCCCAGCAGACGCTAGCTCCGGGACCAGAACGATTCGAGTGAGTCGCGAAAACTATTGGTTGCCGGAATGTCGGCTCAAAAAGAGTTTCAATAATTTAATTTTAATAATTTCAATAAGTTTAGAGATGCGATGTTCTTCCGGACTCCTCAACGATATTCCGCTCGCCGCTTATTCACGCTCTCTCCTCCCAGACATGCGTGGACGGAGGCAGTAAACATCTCGTTGTGCTGGCCACTTTCCCCCTCGCCGTCGGTCCCTTCGAAGGGATGTAAGCCATGTCGTAGGATTCGGTATAGGTAGTCGAAGATAGCAGACGAATTCGACGGAGAGAAAACAGACCGAGCAAGGCTGCTTTGGATGTGCAGGGCGAGGCGCGCAAATTTGAATGCCTTTGAATTTGAACGACTGTGTGTGTGTGGTTGTTGCCTGCTGCTGTTGGTGGTGGTGGTGGTGATTCACCGTTTCCACCGATGCCTTGTGACGAGAGCGACTGTCACTAGGCATCGGAAAGCAGCCGATGCCTGCCAACCAAGGCGAAGACAGCTGACGGGAGAAATCAGCAGAAGGATTTCAACGCGCAGAAGCTTCGCCTTTTGTGGGCTGAGCTTGATGCGGGGAGGATTTCGCCGATCCAATTCATCGAGCAGATAAAGTACAGGCCGAGACGTGGTGAGACTTCCGCCGCCTTATTCCACTGATATCATTCTGACCCAAAAACGTACGCTTCGCTGTAATCTTCCAGGCGCCGGAGCTGCTCCCGCTCCCGGTAGTTCCCCTGCAGTCGACGCGGTAGACGATGAAGAAAGCGATCAGTGGGTGACGGGTCCGAGCGAGACCCCAGATCCCCGTGTCAGAGTTGACGAGACTCCCCTTTCAGATCACTCTTACAGCCTGATGTCTGCCGACGGTGACCATATGTACAGTGTCCCTCACACGTCCGGCTCATAAATCGATCAAAATTTGGCGCAACACCGAGATTGCATGAAAAGAGTAGAGCTCCCCGCGGAGAAGAAGACATATTTTCTGGAATCGGAATGCTATGTAACCTATGTGCCGTGTCACATAGGTCAGTCATTCCGACAGTTTCATTCATTAGATCACCACGAACGGATTTTCGTATTCAGGACTGCGCAGCATTAGCTGCTCCGCAGTCGAGTTAGATCCAGACCCCGTCATTTGGATCTGCCCAACTAGGGGAAATGATCCGATGATTCCGAAAAAACTGTAACTCGATCTACCGATATTTAACCATGTTCATTATTTCATCATATCGCGCCCTCGTATATCGAGTTTGCCATTTGTATTTCGAATGAAGAAACTTTCCTCATCCAGGGGTATATCTTTTTTGTTTTAAGGAAGGTAGGAGCGATCCACTTCCGGATGCATTCTTCAAAAGACATCGATTCATGATCAGTTTCTCAACCTTTAGCGTAGCTCATCACCCCCGGCACTAGCTATCTCGCGCGCTTCTACCCGCCGCTAAACTAGCGGGGGCTCATACAGACACCCTCTCCAATGTTCGTCTGCTAGCTGGCACTGACTAGCACGAATCCTACGAGATGGCTTACATCCCTTCGAAGCAGTCGCTCCTCAGCTGTTGAGTGAGGAAACACGACAAGCATATGGAAAGCGGTACGTCAAAGCAAACCCTTCAACCAGGGGAACTCTCGCGAAAATCCATGTAATGGATAGCTGCAGCTTCCGCAGATATCACCTCCACGTGATTGCTTCCCTATTCCGACTAATCGGAGGAGATTCTCCTGGTACTGACTACAAAATCGAGCATGTCCTCCACACTCACCACATTTCCTCCAATGGCGCTGAATCATGCAACTCTCAGGGTTCGCACTCACCTATGTATCCCCCGTATGACCGCTGAGCACTCTATCATAAGTCTCTCGATCCCCGTTTTAGGTGCCTGGTGAAACCTGTGCGCACTCCTCTCGTCTTCAGAGGAAGTCTTCAGGCTGGCTGTATTCCGGCGCTTCTGTATTCAGAAATCGAATGATCTCCGCTATATCAGAGTTATAATCTCTTCCACGCTCAAAATATGTTCCCCCCGGAGATCAGCTTCGGAGAGCTGAAAAAGCTTTTGGCTTGTTCGGAAAACTTCGTTCTGGATGTTCGCGGAGCTGAAGAATTCGACGGCGATGGTTCGATTCCCGGTGCGTCGACAGAGGAGAACATCCATCATCGTCCCGAGTTTCCTGCCCCCATGCTCTTCGAATGGCTCCGTAGCAGACTCGAACCCTTCTTAGATGGTGTCCCGGGAGTGCCCTCGGAGTGCGAGAAGATTATTGACAAGGATTTGGGCTTCGATGCCGTTTTGCTGCTTTTCAAAAGTCCTTGAGGCCTTCCCCGTACTACAGAGCTCCTGCAAATACGGATATGTAGCTTCCCCTGCCGCCCAACGCTGGAATCACAGGCTTACCAATAAACCCATTCCAGGAAGCGTCAATATACCGCTGGGTGCGCTGGACGCTCTGATCGGCGACCCTGTCGATTTCGAAAGAGCAATCGGTTCGTCTGATGATGATTTTCTCTCGTGGACTTTCTTGGATGCTATGAAATGCCGAGAGTCATCATGAGCTCACGGATTCCGTCGGAGACTCGAGCGAATTCCTTCGTTACAGGACGTCCGATTGGTCCTTCTGGCCGGAATGTGATCCTATCCTGTAGATCTGGAAGGAGGGCACTGCTGGCTCTCGACAAGCTGAAAGCGGTCGGGTATAATGAGTGAGTCGGAGACTGTGTTCTGCTCTGGAATCCTTTCCCAATGCAGTTTCTCCCCGGGGAACGAACCTCTTGATTGCCGTGAAATATTCCGAAAGCTCTCAAACCCTCCAAATGGGGCTCTACCAATATTGCTGATGGCGTCCAGACTCTTGATGCTTTTTCTTTGTCGTTCCAGCATGAAAATATACAAAGGGAGCTTCATGGACTGGCAGGCTAATGGTGGAGAAGTGTTCAAAGCAAAATAAACGATGACTCCTCATTCCAATAGACTCTTGAATGAAATACAGGATATTTCTCCGGGTTCCTCGTTCCCTCTACGAGCGAGGAAAATGAGGAGCCTGGCATTAGGTATCAGCCCGACGCTGACGGATGAGAAAGTGATACTTGAGTGATCGCGCAGCGGTCAAGGGTTCGCACTGATCGGAATGACGTCATACCATGCAGAAGACCGCTTCTGCAGAGGCGAAAGACGGAGACATCGAGCCTCGTCGTGGCGGAGGAGATTCCCTTCGCACCGGAGAGCTTATCGGGTCTTGATCAATGTTCATAATGGAAAGAATCGCTCCCGACAATATGGAATATGGAGACCCGCGGCTTCTCTCGCAGTGAAAGGCTAGTGTCCACGAAAAGTCCCGGAGAGGCTCCAGGACAGATCAGAGTCATCCGCTATTCCGCTCCGACACGGTCTGCGAGGGTCGCGCCGAGACTTTGAGAGCCTCGTGGGCCACCGGCTGCGGTTCTCATCGCGTCTGACTGAGGTACCCGATCCGAGCGTTTCGTCTCTGCCCTTTAATGAAAGCTCAGAGTCATTTGTTCACATTTACAGGCGACTCGTATGTGAGTGTACATAGTTCGAGCAATTTCAGAGCATTTCAGTTCCCTCCTGAGTAAACAAAGAGCTGACGGATGCACGCGGGCAAACGAGCGACAGTGCCCGCGAGCGGCCAAGCCGGCCGGCTGGTAAGCTGCTCGGCGGCTCAACCAGGTAACTCCGTAGCTGTCCCAGATTCTCTCCCGCACCCTTTCATACTCCCTTGATCTCGAGGGGAGGGCCTAAAGGACCAGGGCTAGCACAGCGACCCTAAAGACCCCGAGGGTCGCTGGTTGGCAGTTGTGGTGTTGGTAACCCACCGAGAGAGCAACAGTCAACAAGACAAGAGTGTTGTGCGCTCGACAACCACCTTCTGGAGGAGAATCACACCGTCATGACCCAGGTGGGTGGGCGGATTCGAAGGCGAGCTTCAAACTTCCGGTTAATCCCCTGAGTTGGTTCACTGGCTCGTACCAAGAGATTCCGTTTGTATTCGGGAATCCGGTGGAATTCGCTCTCTCGGGGGCAGTGTGGCCGAGGTGAGCTCCGGCGCCAAAATAATCTTGAGCGAACCCATGAGCTCCCAAAGCGGATTCCTCCTCCGCGGACCAATCGCTATGCTCTCAACGAGTAATCTCTACCCCGATCGGTCGCCTAGACTGCTTCCGAATGGAAATGGACATGAAGTGTTCCAACCGGGTCAACTTTTCGCTTGACTGAGTCTCATAATTCATTCTGGTCGCCAAGGCCTCGATTCGAGATGCTAGATATAACCTACAACTTATCAGGAGCCAATTCAAGAATCCGCCGATCCGTGCTCTCCTCGTTCCGTCCGTGAACCTCAAAGAGTGGAGAAGTTCTTCCGTCGGGCTCACGTGTCTGAGTGAGTAATGTGCTGCCGATGACCCTATAGAGATCCGTCCGTAGAGATGCGTCACAGTTCTTCCAGAAACCAGACGGCTCTTTTACACGACGCTCTGACATTACGACGAATCAAGCGGTATCTGGCAAGGGAAGAGAGTCTGTGCACTAGGCGAACTTCGAGGGGAGACCTGCACTGATTGGCTTGATTTCGACAGGATTGAAGGACGAGCGAGACTTCAGGAGGTATCGTGATGTACATTCCTGCAACTCCGGAAACTGCGCCGGGACCGCCTCGGAACGTGCGAGCGTCTTACGATTACGAAGTCGATACCGTGAGGCTCACCTGGGATCTCCCGGAAAGTCCGGGTCCGTCGAAAATCCAGAGTTTCGTCGTTGAAAGGTGCGTGAGTCAACCTAAAGTCTCAAGTTCCCCATCCATCGACTCACATTTCAAATACCGAACTGAAGGGCAGGTCGTCACTAGCCCCGAGGCATCCCAAGAACACGGATTCCGAGCTGCCCCGTCAAGTACCTCACGATTCGAATACGTCACCGACGCTCCCCCCTCCCTAGCGCCCTTGCTATCAGTTCAGAGGAAGAATAAAAACTTTCTATCGATTCTCGAATTCAACTATCGAATCGGGAGCGGAGATGAAACCCATAAGTGCTTCACAGACTGGTCGAATGACTCGGAGAAGTAGCCTCACTTGAGTGGCTAAAACAATGACCGCTACTGTCGGTGAAGCTGCACCGACCAAAAAATAACACGTGCCCAGGCGGGCTTGCAAGGTGGACCTCTTCAGTGGTCATGTTTAGAGATAATAAATATCTCTTTAGCCTTCAGCTGTCTGCGGCAAAGCGCGAAACCCAAGCTCGAATGCCGTGACAAGGATATCCGAACTGTGACTTTCGCAATCGTCAACAGTGATATCCCCGATAGTAAATCTACGACTCCGATAACCCATCGAGTGACACTTGCTTAAAATCCCGACTCTAACTCCAGATGCGCGAGCGAAGACGGGGAATTCAAAGAAATCGGCTGTGTGGACCCTGAGCTCCTCTGGTTTTGTGATGGCGACATCTCCGGAGACGTTGAATATCTGTACCGTATCCTCTCTTTGAGCGAGAATGAAAGCAGCGAGCCCTCGGCGGCTGTCAAAGTATTCACCGAGTGTCTCGTGGGTGAGTTCGGCCAGAGCTGATAATAATTGCTCGATAATTATGAATTCTCTGATGAGTTTGTTTGCTCCAACGGATTCCCGTTCTCTGCAGATCTGCCGGATTCTCCAGAAGGTCCGCTCCACATCACTTGCACCACGAGTCGTTCCTGCTCGCTGTCGTGGAGGCAACCGATATCGGGTCCCGTACAGGGTTATTCCATATGGAAACGACGGCAGGACCTCGAGACCTGGACCCGAGTTATGACAGTCGATGGCGATATCCAGGAATGTACGGTCGGCAACCTGGATAATCACTTCCGGTATAGTTTCAAGGTGAGCCGGTTGGGCGGATGCGACTGTGAAATCCAGTACGCCCCGGGGCCGAAACCCGGGGCGTAGTGGGTTTCTGACCCGGAAAGAGTTGAGCCCGGTACAGCAGCCGCAGAACATAAAGATGAGCTGATGGGCTTCCTCTTCTTTCAGGTGCACTCAGAGAATCGGGCAGGGAGCTCACTTGTTGCGCTCAAGGCGCCGAGCCTGGTCCATCTGAAGACCGGTACTCGCAAACCGAACGCGCCTCGAGGTCCTCTCGTCCCGACCGTGACCGGGCCTTCCTCAATGTATATCGAGTGGGGTCCGTGCGAAAACGACGGCGGAGCTCCTCTGAGAGGTTACACGATATGGATCAAAGAAGTTCCCCGCAAAATATGGGTTGAGGTATGCAAGCGAGCTCTCAATTCTCTTCCCGTAAATGATCGACATTCTTCGTGTTCACTTCCTTACAATACTAACCTCTGGCAGGCCGTGATGTGGGGATTCATGATCAACTCGATATTTTCAGATAGGGAACGTGGAACCTGACGTCTGCATATTTACTGTGAGGGATCTACTGGAAGGCCACGAGTATTCGGTGAAAGTGGCGGCTTTCAATGAACTCGGGGTTGGACCTCCTTTGGTCTTAGAGATCCCGATTGCCATCATTAGACCGGAAGGTGAGTCCGTCGAGAGTTTGCTCGCCTTATAGCCAGTATCGGCGTGTCGAGGACTCAGATCTGGGTGGGTCCGGCCACCAGTACCTTGTATGTATTCCCTTGTATGTATATCGACAAGAATTCTTTCGCAGGAGTTGTAGTTCCTCCGAGCGCACCGATCGGTCCGATTGTCGTGAAGAATATCTCCCCAACATCGATGATGGTTTCCTGGAAAGCTCCATGCGACGACGGCGGGGGACCCGTTGAAGCCTACATCATCGAGCAGAGGGAAATTCTCGAAGCTGACGTACGACTTCCCACTCCTTACAAAGAAACTAGATTCACGAGAAACCTCGATTGTTTAGGTGATATAATGAGAACGTTTGCGATCGTAGATCGTCAAGAGTCATCACGAAACAGACGGTCCTGAAACATATTATATCGCGGAAGATCTCACGCAAAACCACTACTACTGCTTCCGGATTTACGCCGTCAACGAGGCGGGCGTGGGAGAGGCTCTCGTCGGGAAGATTCCAACTCGAGCGAGAGCGGCCTCAGGTTAGTCTAGAGGGAATTCCATTGAATCAGCGATACTGTCTGCTTCCTTTGACAATGCCAACGAGAGAGGAGCTCACATGGGGCTTTCCCCATCGATCGCAGTCAGGCCGCCTCAGCCCGATGCACCGCTTGTTGAGCTCCATGATCACAAACCACGAACAGTGAGGGTCTCGTGGGACCCGGTCGAGGGCGATATCGAATGCTATCTCGTCGAGCGGTCTCAATTAGATGAAGAAGAGTGGCAGCTCGTCAGTCCCCAGAGGAACTTCCGCGAGACCAGCCTCCTCTGCTCCGGACTCTTCCCCGGGATCGAGTACGTCTTCAGAGTCAGCGCCGAAAACGATCATGGATTGGGGAAGGCTTCGCAGATTTCCGAGCCTATAGCTGTGACAGGTCAGTGAGAACTCGCGGTGATGACATATCACCTCACCACGGGATGGAGAGCCTAACGTTTCTTCCGTCGTTCCAGCCGGTAATATCCGAGAGCCCCGATTCTGCAAGGATTTGAAGGACATGACGGCACTAGCCGGTGATCTGATCCAGTTCGATGTTGAATTCTGCGGAGAACCAGAGCCGGAGATCATCTGGTGAGCGAAACTTGGGACCCTTCGTCCAGGTGTTTCGGGTGCCGTTCTTGAGGGACCGTCACTACAGAGGCTCCGAAGCACCACCTTAACCAGAATTCTCCTCGTCCCTTCAATCCGTAGGATGCACGATGGAGCCCCCGTTCAATCTGAAGGACGCTTCGAGGTGTTGAGCGTCGAAGGAGCGTCCTCGCTCCGCATCAGCCCTGTCATGATGGAAGACGAGGCTGGAGTGGCCTGTGAAGCGAACAATCCCGCCGGCAAGAGCAGGACCGACGCGAAACTCTCCGTGCATGGTAAATTGAAGAGCCGGAACGGCCGTGGAGTTCGTAGCGAATCTCTCTGTTCGGCTACCATCGCTGGAAGTCCGTCCCGATGGGAGACATTTATGATGAGCTGAACGTTCCGCCAGACCGCCTGATGAGATAGTGGATGACCTCGCGCCGCGAGAAGACTATTCTCGGTGGTGCCAACTTTGTTAGTTAAAGGCCATGAAGCGTTTTAGCGCCGATTCGCAGAAGGCGTTGCTTTCATCTTCATCTCGGTCATCTGTCATCCAGTGGGGTTGCATGGTCGTGTGGCTTCGTGTTCACCGAGTTGAGCGGTCATTCGTCCGCGACTTCACCTGTGCTGCGAAAGCTCTAGACAGGCTGACGTCACCCGAGTTCTCCACCTCAACCCCCTCTCTCATATCTCTTCCAGCGCGGCCTGAGATTCTGCCTGTGGCCCGATATTCGCACGGTCTGTGTTTCGACGCTGGAGAGTCGCTGAGGTAAGCGAAAGGCAACCGGAAAGAAAGTAATTATTGAAACGGTCGCTTGTCAGTGCCACCATGGACAGTGAAGCAGAGCAATCGCGGAGACCGAACGAGCTGAAGGACGGAAAAACGTCGGAAGCTACGAGAAACCGTCGGTTGTTCGCAGAATCAAGCTACCGTACGTGGGGAGTCCGAAGCCGAGAGCGGAGTGGCTGCTGAACGGCAAGCCTCTCGATTTGAGTTCCGAGGGCGTCAGTGTATCTTTCGATTGTGGGAACGCAGTTTTGGAAATTGATGAAATCACGACAAGTTCGCAAGTGAGTTGATATTCAATGGGAGATTATCCGGTTCTCACACTGCGTGAAGCGTTCCCATGCCCTAACTTGAATAATAACATTTGGAATTTCGAGCGAAATGCTGAACTCTATTGAAAACTACTTGAAAGAATGCTACACTACGGGCTCATCTGGACAACCTAGCCAGACAATTCAGTTACAATCATCCACAGCATGTGGGCTCTCATTCTTCCGAGAAGAAGACAAAAATCATTGATTGGATCAAAACTCCCGAAGGGCATACAGTCTAGTCGAGTGTGGAGCATCTTCTATTTCCAGGGAACTTATACGCTGAAAATCGACAACCAATACGGAACGGCAACACTCGATATCGCAGTCTCCGTGACAGGTATGTAGGTCTCCTTCACGAAAATACAGGGAAACTTCCGAGCTTCCGAATGGGTCCGGCTTCCTCGGCGGAGGACTGTCGGCCCGAGTCATCACGCTTTATGGTGATAGTACATATTTGGCCCGAATGGCAGCCTCCGCTGTGAATGTGGGAGATGAGCGCTTCATAAAGTGCAACTACCTTTACCCTAAAAATCTCTCGAAACACTGAATAAGAGTATTTCAGGATCGTTACCATACGAATCGGTGATGGAGGAGTCCAAGACTCTCGTCAAACTACCGCCGACTCAGCTCGAACGAAACATGAATACTTCTCGTTCAGTACCTCGAATCTCTTCTCAGGTGAACCGGAGCGCCCTTCGGGACTCTATCTGACAGACATCAAGGAGGATAATTGTGTTTTGCATTGGGTGCCGCCGGAGAATGATGGAGGGAGTCCGATAACAAATTACGTCGTCGAGAAACTACAGGTATCGCGCTGGTTTTGTCACTTGATGCAGTCAGCCAGAATTGTGATTACCGATTTCCGGGAAGCCAACGCCCTCCTTTGCTTGTACACAGGAGGGCGAGGTTATTTGGACTCGATGTGGGACCTCTCAGAAAGCGGAATACCGAGTTTTCGATCTTGAGGAGGGCGGCATCGTGGTCTTCAGAGTCTCTGCTGTCAATATATTCGGGCAGAGTGAACCGAGTGACACCACTCTTCCAACCAAGATGTCGCCCGAGGTGGAATATCAAGGCAATCGTCCAGGAAAAATATCCGCTCCGTCCTCATCCGTCTCGGCCGTCGGTGTCCATCAGGATTCGGTATTCCAGGTCAGCCTAATGACTGTCCGCCGTGCCCCGATAAGACCGCATACCCCCCGGAAACGCTCAAGGAGGAGTCCAAGGGGAACCGACATTCTGTAGGCGAATCCGGTCGATGTTACTGAGGAGCTATGTATGTACACGAATCTAACAGTCGTTATCGGCACGGCAGGACATTTCAGCTCAGCAAGAAAGACCCTGTCCCGAGATTCGTCCCGAGTTTTGGGCAACGCCAGACCTCATTTCCCTGGACAGTTGCGTTCCAGAAACCCTCTTGGGCGGATCTCAGCCCCACAGAGATTGGGAAGAAGCCACAGCTGGTGAATAATAATTATTTTCGTGCAAAGGGAAGAAAATCCTCTCGCGGAAACCGTGAGAGCCGACTATTATAGCTCCACGAATTTCCAGTTACTGACGACACTTTGGACTCGGTTTCGGAGCTGTCTTCGTTCCAAGCAGAATACACCGACTACTACTCCGGATCTCCGCACGGTACCGTGGCGTCGTCGAATGACACGGTGCTCGACATGGAAATGTCGGAGCTGATGAACTTGGTATCCCACGACTACTCCGGTGAGCGCTATACATAGATTTAGGAAATCGTTCGATACGCTCGAAAGTATTCATTCTCTTCACTGAGCCGGTGACGTTGCCTCAGGCTCGGATAACGGCAGAACGGTCGTGCAGCGAGCGCCTCCCCAAGTGTCTCACGTTGGCTCTATGGTGACACCTTCAGAGCGCAGCAAGGCTGTGTCGCCCACTGACAGCCTACCTCTGATGACAGTGATTGAAGCTTCGAGTGAGTAGTATCCATCATTCGCCCGAGAGACTACGAGAACTCAATATTGTTGCGCTACTCTACGCTTGAATTTCTCGAGATTCAACCGATTTTCTTCGGAATCAGGGTATCGAAGCGACCATTCGAACGGTTCAGATGGCGAGCTGACGGTTCGGCCAGCCAGGCCGCCCCCGCCAGCTTACGCAGACGCCATAGCGGAAATTCATCAAGCAGAAGGTGAGTGAAAATTCGAAGGCAGAATAATCGACATCTCGCTAAGACGCCGCCGCGACGGGCCACCAAGTCTAAGCGCCGCCTCGCTGTTCGCGATATCACCCCGAGCGCATCGCGTCTGCCTGTACAGCAGGGAAAACTTAGCATTATGGTCGGAACGGCAGAGGAAGATCCTGCCGGCCCTGAATAGAATGAAATTGTGGAGTTCCGATCTCGAATACGATGAAAAGATGATTTGATTTCAGAGTGCCTCGAAGATTTGAATGTCACACCCGAATCGGCGAACCTGTGCACGGAGCCCGTATACCTCCATTCAGCTAAATCGAAGCCGCTCGTCGTGGTAGACGGGGTGCCTCTGATACAGGTTGAGCGCAAAGCATCTCTCCTAGAGGACATCCATGAAGCCGATGAGAACTTAGAACCTGCGTCAGAAGGTCTATCGGTTGTCCGAAGCCGATTCCCGAGCATACAATTTCCTAGCAAAAAAATATTCGGAGCTCTACGAACGATAAGTCCTTCACCGGAATCCCCGGTCAGCGGGCGTGAGTCTCACGAACTAATGCTCAAACGTCCGTGCTCTTTCAGCGAGTGACAGACTTCTGGTTTCACTCAGCAAGGCCGAGAGTGCGACCGACAGCTGCCTCCAAATCTTGGAAAAGAGTCCTCGAGCCGAGTCGAACTGCAGCTCAATTTCGGATATAGCTTCGCTGGAAGATTCTATCGAAAGAGAGTACAATTACAAGGAACAGAAAATGGAATCCCTCGAAGCAGGTCTGGAATTCGAGATGGCGAGTCTCGAGAGAGACCTCTCATTGCTCAAAGTTCTCCAAGGCGCTGAAGACGAGGATCTCAGCGGCTCGAAGCGAACCGATCTGGTCAGAGAGATCGGACGCCACGGCGAGTTGTTCCGACCTCTACACAGAGAACCGCCTAGGCCTCGAAAGCGATACCCGAAGTACTCTGTGGAACGACGTCACTTTGAGAGACTTATGACTCCTCCAAATCGTCGAAAGTTCTACGCAGAACGCACTGGAAGCATTTTCAAAATACCCTCTTCGAGCGGCAGCGATGAAGACGAAGTCTCGAGTGAGGAGAGCTTCCACGAAACTCCAGTCAAGGGCTGTGCACCGAAAGTGATCAGTCATTTGCGAAACAGGCATATCCAGGCGGGATGTCGCATCAAACTCAGCTGTTCCATAGACGGTGATCCTTGTCCTGAAATCTTCTGGTTCCGTAACGGCAGGCCGCTTGCGCTCAAAAACCGTCACTTCGTCGTAAGCATGGTAAGAGCCCTAAAATGAGAAGCAAAAATTCACCTCTCGACTCTCCATGATCACCTCATCCCATTGAAGTTGTGTGTTCTCGGATGGGAACGGTCCTGGACCCGATTGGTTTCTATTGGATTTTCCATCCACGATTTCCAGCTCGATTTCAATCTTTGTACCTTGGAGATATACAGCGTGCGATCCACTGATACGGGCGAGTATTCCCTCGTGGCGAAAAATCCGTTCGGAGAGTGCTCAACGTCGGCATATTTGAGAGTGACGGGTACGTGCAGAAGCTGTGAATTTCCAAAGAGGTATACCTGAGAATAGTAGCCTCGGAACTACATGCCCAGGAACCTTTCCCGATATTAGATCACGTTTCTCATGTCACAAAAGGTAGCAGAGAAGAAAGCCCGGAGAAACCGCGCATTCGCCGAGAGAAAGAAGCAGTGCTGGCAACGAAAGACGGTAAAACTGATTTGAATTGGAATGTCCGCGGATGGCCTCTCCCATCAGTTCAAGTGTGAGTCCGGCTGAAATCAATGGTCATCAATCGGAGATCGACGAGACTTTCGGAGTTCAGAGAAGGAAGTGGAGGAACCATTGCGTTATTCCCTCTTTCCAGGTATCATGAGCTCGATCGGATTCGCACAGATCTCTGGAAAGATCTTACTTTGGGACCCCGAGGAGAGTGTAGGCTCAAATTCCACAAAGTTTCTCCGAGTGACGAAGGTGTCTACACATGCTTGGCGTCAAACAAGTACGGACGCGCGGCGACGACCATCGTTCTGGCGGTCGGGGGTGAGTCCTGTTCGAACGAAGTATATCCAGCGGATGCTTTGAAGGGAAATATTCCAGGTGGGCTGCGAAATCCTATTGTACAAATGCTTGAAACTGCCGCGAAAAGCTTCCCGCCTCAATCGTGGGGACTCGATTCGCTCGTAGGTTCCTCCTCAAGGGTAATATCAATAGACGTGGAAATGTAAGCGCTACAACTCCTGTCGTGATTCGATCATTGAGATGATTACCACACTCCCTTGCTCTCGTCATTTTGGGAATCTGAAACAAATGCCGGCGCCTGCCGGGAGACTATGGCTCAGAGTGCCAACCTTAATATCAAGTCGCGCCCCGCCACGCCCCACCTTCCTTAAGCTCCCGTTGGGGCGAAACTTGTCGAGCGCCTTATCGGTAGTTCCTGCGTTCCACGTAGAACAGCACTGCTCTAAAACTTCAGACAATGCAGTATGTATTGTTTGAAGCACCGAGGATCAGATCTGTTGAGCGGAGAGACTAAAATCTGAGAGACGAAAGGAAAAATCGAGACGTCTGGGCTCTATTGACAAGAGAATTCACCATTCGATGCGCCTGTGAATAGAAGCGAGGTTCTTACTCGTTCGAGAAAATTTCCACTCCGCGGCGTAGGCCGAAAACATGTTTGCGTTTGATCATTGTTGCATCTGATTCGATCACAGCGGCCGACTCAAGCGCCTTCTCTTCGTGGAAATCCGGAGAATAAATATTGTACTTTGCCTCTGACTGCCTTGAGTGCTTCTTGGCACGTCGGGCTCGCGCGCTCGATGTTCTGTATGCCAGGGAGCTGTCGCGAATCAACTCTACGTCTGACGAGTCTCGTCGCGAATCATCGATTCCGATGACAGCTTTCGATGTCTTCGAGAAGGTTCAAATCCTTCGCAGGGGGCTCTTGTCTACAAGCGACCCTGATCAGTTCTACGGTCGGCGCATGCGGTATGCCGTCAGGATACCGACGGAGCGAAAAATCACCCTCCATTGGTAGATGCGATTCGGAAAGACTGTTTGGGATTCGGAGTCTATTCGAAGTGTCCGAATACGATACGAAGTGTCCATCGACGTTCGGAGAGCTCTCGAGGCCGGTAGCAGAGCCCGCGCTCTGCGCGAGGAAGTATCCATGGCAACCGGACCACAAAGCTCGGGCTCATGAGACCGAACGATTCATTGACAAAACTAGCGAATTCGTCGGTCCGGCTCGTTTCACTCCCCGATACGTCATGGAGGCCAAGAGGATACTGCAGCAGCGAGTGCGTCGCCGACTACAAACAGTGACAGCTTTGAAGTCCCTGAGTGAGAAGTCGAAGTCAATACCGGATGTTGACTTCACTCTGGCGACGGAAAGGAACAATGGTATTGCATTTTTCCTGGGAACGGACATCGCGAGTGAAAGTGAAGCGAGAGCAAAAGAAGACGTGCGAGAGAGAGAGGAATTCGAGAATGCCACCTGGAAAATTTCGAGATACCTGAAGGCTCAACCGAACATCAAGATCTCAGATAGTGCCAGAAGCCTTGTTGTGACGGAGAGGCACAAATTCGGCGAACGTCAGAAGCGGATGCCGCCCAGGAGCGGGAACGCTTATCACGCTAACAGGATAAGCCAAGACGTTGTGGCGGAAGAGTCGGACGATTCTAGAAGGGATGTTAATCTGCTGGATGGTCTCGAGTCTCCCGCCATGAAGCTAGAGCCTCTCAAAGATGAGTGGCGCCTTCAAGACGATATCGGCACTAAAGACCGCTTCAGCGTGATGGCCCTCAGAGGACGGCATCGAGCTCCCATGAAAGAAAGTACGACTCTGGTCCCACTCTACTCGAAAGAATACCAAACGAGAGGCGCTGCCGACGACCGAGAAGAGTTCGACGATATCGAGTCATTCCAATTCGCTCAGAATACTGTCATGGATAAGCTCAGAGAGTTGGTGGCCGAGCAGAGGCAGAGCGTTCAGCACCACACCACGTTGGAGAGTATTTTGATCGAGGAGAAAGCCCCCGGCATAGCGGTGATGGGTATCGGAATGCTCAAATTCACTCTTCCGAGAAGACCTCTCCGGCCGCGGCGGAAGGAGCGCAAAAAAGTCATGACGGCCTCCGTCATACAGCGGCAATCGGAATTCGCCGAAGCCGATCTCATTGTCACCGTACTGCGAGCGACGAACGTGCCCATCCGGTCCGATGTTGACCGCAGGGTCTCGAGTCCAAGCAGCGCGTTCCAGAGCCACGCACAGATTCAAGACAGCATTATACAAGTGCGACCCTTCGTCGAGGTCAGCTTCCAACAGAACACGAGAGCCACATTCATCTCTGATGGTCCGAACCCTACTTGGAACCAGCAACTGACATTACCCATTCGTAACGATACCTTCCAGGGAGACAATCGAGACTTAATCTACTTAAACATTTGCGATCAAGTGGTCATCGACCTACATGACGAAGACGACAAAGACCACATCCATCAGATTCTCGAACGCAGGTGGTTGGGTACATTAGCCATCCCGTTTTCCACCGTTTATCTGAATTCGAAGATCGAGGGCACCTTCCGCATAGAAAGCCCTCCCATTCTTTTTGGCTATGAATACGAATCGAAACAATGGCCACAAAGTATCGAGCAGAATAACTTCATTCTTCTTTCGCTGTTCATGACCATTGAACCCCCTCTCCAACTGCCGAAAATGATTTTCGAGAAACTCCCTCCTGGGGAGCCCGAGCCCATCCTTACCCGGTGCTCGAGGTACGAGAGCTCCCTGAAACAAAAATTCCCATCGCGAGAGATCCGGGCTCTTACGGCCAGCATCGACGGGAAGATGGTGCTGGTGACCAGGTTCATCCACCCGATTATGCCTCCGAGAGACTTGCTCTTCGACATGGAGGCTCTTCCAATGAAAATGGAGCGACTGGCGAGATTCGTTTCTCTGATCCCCACGGTTTCCGACAGCATCCTGTTCCCGGGAATCTGCGATATTTGGACTACTTGCGAACAGTTTCTGCAAGTGCTCGTTGGGGACGAGGAAGAGCACGCTCTGCTGCTGTGTAATTATTTTCTGTACCTCGGAGTCAATGCGTACATCCTGCTTGGCAATGGCATACCCGAAGGATCGACATCTTATGTGATCACATTCAATAACTCGGCTGGCGGAGTCGAAGACCGGATTTGGAATGCCGTCACAGGCAAGAGCTTCTCGCTTTCGGACGTGAACTCGCCTCTGCAGAGCGTCGGCTGCATCATCAGCAAAGACAATGTTTGGGCGAATATCCAGGAGGATGAGAGACCGTGTCGGGTGCAGTTCGCTCTCGGGAAGTCTAATTTATGGAGACCCTTATTCAGGAGTGACAGCAACCTTCAGCTGCACACCATCCAATCTGACAGCATCGAGTACTCTTCGCCGGATAAGCATTTCGCCTCGAAGCTAGAGAGTGCGCTAGAAACTCATCTTCGAGAGTCGATCATGCGTTGGCGGCGGCAGGACCGGACCATCTGGAACAGACACCATTGCAGGCTTCTCCGGACTATGCTGCCGAAGTTCGAGGAGCACCTTCAGCGGAAAGATACCATTGGCGCCGAAAATCTTCTAGACGCCATGTCGTCTCATAAAGTTAGCGGTTTCCCCCTGTCGATGACCTTCGTCAGCCTGAAGGCCGTGACGGATGCGGTGAAGGCCACCGGCGTTCATCTGACTCGACAAGACGGAACCGAGTTTGCGTTGGCGGTCTACGTGCACGCGTATCCGTCGCAAGTATTCGCAGTCTGGGTTTACGTCGCAACCATAGCCCTGCGCGAATACTAGAGCCTGCTTGATACGAACCGACTCAGAGTATCGGTATCTCATTTCCTTCCGTGTGGGAGGTTCAGAACTCAGAACACAATCAATGAGCCGATCAAATGTAATTATCGAGTGGGATTAAAAGAAAACTATAGCAATAAATATCGCTGAATTCTACGAGTGCTAAGAGATGATATCGAAACGGATACATAAATGATGGATTTCTTTGAGGACTAAATGGGAGATAAGTTAATAATCTCGCACCCCTGAGGCGTCTGAATGCATTGATGAATGGGAGCATATCATCAGGGGATTCTGCTCTCGACCCGCGTATTATCATGTTCTCGGGCACCGAATGAATACTCATTTGGCAAGGACGTCCGATAACGAGGCGATGAAAAGCAGAGACTCGTCCAAAACGATCATCATTGGTGTTCTGTTTAGGGTCTGCTTCGTTTGTATTCAAAATACGCACCACTCGGAACTACCTTGGCCCAGAAGAGATGCTGATAGGGAAGCGATTGACAGGGACAGGGTTCCCTCGGCCTGGCGGGCGCGAATGAAAAACAAAAGATCTTTAATGGGGATGGGATCGTTCGCAGCTTCTAGCTGATATGTGTAGGGAGCGGGAGCGACATTCTCTGAATGTTTGCGAAAATCAATGATTTGAGCTCGAAGCTTCATGGGATGTCGTTCGCCCCATTGATGTCTTCATATCCGATGCGAAGAACTCAAAATTCGTGCGGTGTATACCTCCTGAGTCAGCGGACAGATTCCGATGTGTGAACAATGTGCTCATTGTTTTCGAGAACTTCCCCATGACTCCGCGACCGCGCATTCCATAATCATCGGACCAATGTTTTGAAGAAGCACCGGGAAACTACGTCGGAACCGTCTATTCTAGTGAACCACCGAAGAGCCCGAGTTTGATTCTGGGTTAACTACCGGAAAAGTTTATGTCGGTCTGTGGTCAGGCAGAGTGATGACTTGTTTGTTTAGTCAATAGCTCGCAACAACGAGCAGGATCTTGGCGAAAAACTCATGAAAACTCATTTGTATCAAATTTCAACACATCGTACGTGAGATTTCCGCTGACGGAGATCTCTCCCTTTTCGCTGGCGTCTCCTTTCTAAACGGGGAGAGAGCTTTAGAGGGAGGCGAACTCCCGAGGACGCATAAAGGCGCGATGAAACTTTATCACTGAATCATTGAAGCGATCTCAGAGAAACAAGACAGACTTCGTCCGAAATGGTGTTTGGTTATACCGGTAAGCTAATTATGTCCCTCAATCGGTGATGCTGGTGTTGTTTGTTCTTCCCGTCGATCTTCACTCCGGTCCCGATGATGCGGGCGCATCTTCGTTTACTCTTTAGTGATTAGTTGACTGGACTTCTGCGAGGCTCCCACGAGGGTCTTCCCTACTTTAGTGTACTCGATGTAGGGAGATGATGACGATACGGCAGAGCATCCGATCGTCAATCGTCCCAGTATTGTTGGCTTCAGTGCTTCACAATCGTCGAGTGCGTCACCCGGCCTAGGAGAGCACCGTCACTAGACCCTCACCACTCAGCACTCTGAGCCTACTGGAGAAACTCTATTCTTTCAGGCGATTCTTCGACTTTAGCAGCCGCAATGGATCCAATGGCGGATATCTCATACTCAACCAGAAATCGTGATCGGAACCTTCCTTTGGGTGAGTTATTTCACCAGAAGACTCAGCTCTTATCCTGATTACTTAGTCAGAGAAGAATTCCCGTCTCCCCGTTCGAAGACTCCGAGACCAGACAGCCACTAATTTTGGCGGAAAGCCGGCGAATACATGAATTCTTTGTCAGTCGTCCTGAGGCTCGTCAAGCATGGGAGGATCTATCGTCACCCGGAACTTCGAAGTCCATTCAAGATCACAGGGAGAGCGAATCGGAACTCGTTAACAAATTTCTCAATTCACGATTCTTCGCTAGGGAATGACATCTACGAGTCTAGTGATGATTACACAATAGAAACCCCGTGAACCTACTCCGATCCGTCCGCTCGCCTTCAATGCGGTGGTTCGCGAAAGCCTGGCGACGAGGCAATGGCTAGAATATCTGTTGGCTGGTTCAGTGTACAGAGAATTCGCCCGGTGATCGACCTATTTGCATCGCGGCTGCTTTCCCTGCTCACTCGTATCTCCCTGTTTCTGAGAACCCACGGTGCCCCGCTCGGAGCGTCGACAGTGCTCACGGCAGAGGAATAACGTGGGCGAGGGAATGCAAACCCTCGTTTTCGGTGTGGCGCGGCCTGCTTACCACTTAGTTACCACTCCGAGTGCATCTGAACCGGAATTCGACTAGCTACTCACCCGAACGAGTATAAGGCGAACATGGTCAGGCTCTAATGATCGCGGGCTCACTACAATGGACGGAGGAGCGCCGGCAATATCATCACCGGTGTCAGTGCTGGACCAGTGGTTCATCGACATCGCTAAAGAGCCTGGACCTCGAGGTCGTCGGAAATTGAAGCTTGATCCCGGTCGGCTCAGATTTCTATTGCCGGCCACGAAGTCACTCCTTTCGCCCGATAATAAAAAAATCGAAACGAACGAGGTACGATGACCTTGTGTCGGCCTGCTCACGTCACTGGCCTGTGTATTTTGAGTCTCTTCCTGAGTGATGTTCTTGCTTCACGATTTCGTGAAGGTCCCGACAAAAACACATTCTTACGGCCGGCGAGGCAGTCCTCGCCGTCATGAGGATTTTTTGGTCTGCAGATCTCTATCCGTTACGCAAGCAGGAAAGGTCGCAGCAGTGTTCAATCTTCATATTCTCGCTGGCTGTAACGACGCAATTCTCAACGAGCCTGCTTTTCAGGTTTTTACGATCCGGACGTCACGGGGTCAAATTTTCCGGAATATGTTGAAGACATTTTCGAGAGGTGAGTGGCTGGAGGACCTAGCAGCCGCGTCGATTTCCCGAAGCAGCTTTCGGTCACTGTAGAAATATCTCTTAATTGTGCGAAGACCCATTGTTATGCTGGAAGAGCGACGCGGATATGTTTCGAGATGCATTGTGCGCGAACAGCAACTCTAATGTAATGGTCGTCTTTGAATCTACCGAGTCGAGGCAAACCTTCTCCAGATCTTCAGATTTCTCTGAAGAAAGGCTTCTCTCGCTTCGAATCATTCCGTTCACTGGTAGCGCCGCGTGCCGATAATCGGCGAGAGACGGTTGTCTATTCCTGGAGCTCGAAAAAGAATATCATTGGGGAAATCCGGAAGACTTCCGGGTCCCCATCAAAACACAAAAAGAGGGAAAATAGATTTGAGAAGATCGAGTTGAAGTCATCGGATGGATGACTTCAGAAACGGCGACGTCACACGGATTCCTACACGGAGCCCTCGCCAGCAGCCTCGGAGACTTGTAGCCTGTGTGTATGTAAGCAGACAACACGGACCCTTCAAGGGGGAAACCCGTCAATAGCTCTCAGCGGAAAACCAAGATGCGGCGTGATTGCTGACTGACTCGGTCTCGGACAGTTCCTGCTTGCGGATGAAGCGCTGATTCCGCTGTTCTGAGAAGTTCGCGAACCGACGTTCACATAACGAGGCTCGAAGAGCCGAGCGAGGGGATTTTTCTCCCACAGATTATATACGCTCGAAGACGCTCAGCCCAGAGATACAGCAGACAAGCCTCTCGTGACGTACGAAACCTTCCTCTTGCAGGCCCGTCTGTTGGTTCCGCACTCACCACGTACCCTTCCTCCGGAATTTACAGAAAGGGGTCAAAGAACTGCCCGAGTTACGAAGTAAGTTGTCGACTCGCGAGCGGAGCACCGGATCGATATCTCAAATATCTCGTTTTCGAGATCTCCTGACTAATCATCAGGAACGTCGAGCAAGCTTCCGCCCAACCTCCCTGGCGTTCAGATGATGGGTCTCTCGCCTTCCGGCCAGAGACGAACGCTCGGAGAGCGGTCAAGGTCCCCCGACAGAGACCGTGATTCGGAGGACACGAATATCTGCCGGTTCAAGTCGGGAACTCGAATCTTGCTCGAGAATTCATCCTCTGTACTCGCAACAAAGACTGGAAAGAATTCACGGCGTGGAATCGACTCGGTATAAGATCGTTCTCCTCTTTTTCCAGAGTTACCCTGGCCCCCACTGAACCCGAAGTTCACGGAAGTCGACAGGAATTCAGTCACCTTGTGCTGGGAAAAACCCATGAATGACGGAGGTTCAAAAATTTATGACTTCAAAGTCGAAGCACGAGAGATTCACACCCGGAATTGGCGGGAGAAAGCCACTTCACGCTCATCAATAACCACAGTTTACGGACTCAAGCCTGGGACGTGAGTACATTGGATTCTGAATCCGGTCGCAACGTGTATACCCTACGGCCGAGTCATTTCGACGTGTGTGAGTTCGGCTACGCAGCTAGGATATTCGTAGAATCGTGACGTCTACAACCGCTGCGCCGCATCGATGGCTGACGATGTTCTTTCGCAGGACCTACGTTTTCCGCGTTGCTGCACGCAATAAGTACGGAGAGGGTCAGGCCCAGGTTTCGGAGCCCGTGACGACAAGGGCGTGAAGATCAGGGAATGCTACTCTCGTCAATCTCAATCTCATCTCCCTGATCAGCTCTCAGGCTGAGCCTCTGCCGGCTAAGTTCTGATCGGTACCGAGCAGATTTCTTCCTGCTGCGCAGTCTCACCTCGTTCATCTGTATCTACAGCGATCTCTAGACCGGGGGGGAGGAAAGTTTCGTCGAAAAAAAATGCTCCTGACGAGCGAGAGGGAAATTCTGAGAGCCTTGTCGGACGTGACTCATCGGCAGCTTTCGGCCGCGTTTCTGTATAGTATATCCTTGATACTCGACCATTCATTCTTCTCTGTTGAGTAATGGTTCGCTTTTGAGCAATTCTTGAACAAGAGCGCTGGCCGCGGTCTCGAACCGCAACGAGGCAGCGCTCCGAATAAAGTTATTTGCTTTCTTCCCGAACATCAGTCCTCCTCCATCAGCTTGCTCGGTCAGGGTAGATCAGATGTGAGCACGATTTTCACATTCATAATTGTGCGCTTGCACAGACCTTCCGGAAAACAGCATGGGGGAAGCCGATTCCGAGCTGGATCACAGGAACCTATCAGGATTGCTGGAACTAGTCGGCCCGAGTCGGGAATTCAGGGACCCTCTCCCGAGGCCCACACCTTAACGTAACGATTACTCTATACTGGCGAGGGATACGAAGTATGAAGACAAAAAGGATAGGAGCCTCCGGAGAAGGAGGCGATCCTCCGATCGCCCATCTCCGGGTTCTGCCGAAGACCAGATGGAGCGTCCTAACGCGATGGCCAGAGTATTCTTAGACGGTCTTGATCACTTCATTGATTTGCATGACCAAGACTTCGAACTTGAAGCTGGAGCTTGCGGGTTCCGAAGGGCTTGGCGGTCATTCCGCGACCAGCTCCACTTAGCGAGAGCGATTCCAGCTAGATTTACACCGGATATCGAGCCTCATACTCGATGTCGAATCGCTTACGACGTCACGCATGTGATCGTCAGCTACGCTCTACGACTTTCGGAACTCAAGCCCAAAGGACTCCATGAGCTCTCGAGCATCTTCACTTTTCCTTCTCCTGCTGTGGGCTCTCACGAATCTCATCCATTCCGTGGCGCAGTTCCGAGTAGCACTGTAGTGGGAAGGTACACGCAGTCAACACAGTCATCTCTAATATCTCCAGACGATGAATCAAGAAGTCTGAGAGGGAACGCACCGACCTTGAAGATGACTCACGGCGAACCGAACGCTCGGCCCGTTGAGCTAAGAAAGCGACGGGTAGCGACCGACACCAGCATTCAAGATGGAAGAGAAGCTAGTGACATTCGGCAGTGGAACCAAGCAACATCTGATGGAGATACGGAACCGTCTACAGAAAACTCTGCCTCAAATCGATCGTTTCGCCGGAGATGTGAAATCGCAAGTTTCTTCAGCTATGGACGATGTTTTCAATGAATTGCGGTCGGCTCATACGGATTTACTGAGACTCCTGACAAAGTCTCCGGGAGAAGGTGTTTCCTTGGTTACGGATGACGAGACCCCTCAACTTGCTCCCGAATCCCCGGGGGGAAGGTTTCCGGCAACCGAAAACTCCGGAAATTCGACCGAGATTGAACCGGGAGAAGCGAGTTTGTTCAATGATACTATGCGTCGGATCTGCCTGCGGCTCGATTCCTTGTACCGGAGCGATGAGAATTCTCGCGTTGCGGATACGAACTGTGATCTAGACCTAGTCGCTCACCTAATCAACCAGGGGGCGAGCAAAGACGCTTTGAAAATCATCATCAAGCACAGTAACAACATCGATGACGTTCTGAAGTTGTCTGCGGACGCTCTCGACCGAGCTGGAGGTGTCAGATCGAAGTCTTCAGAAGAACTGAGACTCATAGATTATGCGGGTATGTGCGCCAAATACGCGGCAACACGAGATAAATCCATCACAAGCTTTGTCGATACCGTGATATATGAGGCTCTGCTCGATGGAGAAATTCTAGCGAGCGACTTTTCTAATAAGTACGAATCGTTGCATGAAGTTGAACTAGAGATTGACAATGATAGGAGCGTTGTGAGTGAAAACGCTAAGAGGTTCCTAAGTTTATTGACCAAAACCCTTATCCCGTTGACATCCGTTGTTCTCAAACTTTGCGCCCTCATCGGACTGACGGTGTTTTGCATCAACCCACTGACCGCCGGACTACTATGCGCTTCGGCATTCATGCTCGATACGTTGAATGAGTTCGTCAAGAGTAGAATGGTTTTGGATATGTTCGAAACCTTCATGTATGCAACAGCTAGCGGCGAGGGCTTGCACGCAGCTTTATCCAATAAATATGTGATTCTAATCAGTGAGGCACTGTTGCACGAAGCTGTCGCGGTGCCCATAACTCTATGCCACAGTGTATCCAAGGGAGGTTTATTCAAGAAATAAAATTAGATCTGCTTCCGATACTTCGCCTCCCGCCTCAGTCTCTAGCGTGTTCATAGATGCATACCTGGAGGGATCTACGTATAGGCGAATGTATCGATTTTCGTGCGGACGTAACTTATGTCAAAACGTCCGTGTCGTAAGGAATTCGACCACCATCTTCCGTATTCGGTTCAGGGTTTCCTCTCACATCTTGCAGACAAGTCCCCGTGCGAGAGAAGGGGTTCACTGTGAGAATTTATATCCCTGCGTTCAATCTGGAGACCTCCGACTGCTCGTCTCGGCACTCTTTAGGGCGGGGGAGCTCCGGAGAATGTTACACGTTTCCGGTGTCTATGATGCTTGGGCTCTGGGTCTGCGTCTTGGGCGTCCGAGTGCGATTCATCGAGTGAAGCGGTGTTAGAGTGTGCCAAGGACCCCGAATTTCCCGCAGAACCTCAAGTCTCTCCAATGACGGCGGTTCTACGCGGATCCCTATAGACGTCTCATTGAGTTGCGATCATTTTCGACTCGGAGAACCGGGGTTCTTCGCAAAGCCTAAGTGCTACCGGAATAGACGCAGGGGCATAATTTGCATCTGATCGCTCCATCCAGTTGCTAAATGGTTCTGATCCCCCTATTGCCTCATGATCATCGAGCCCCGTGATCGACCGAGATACTGACACCGTGGACAAAAGGATCGTTCTTTCCGACTCCGGTAAACTCGCTCGTAAGGGGGGGGGATTTCGGTGCTGCGCAAGATGGAGGAAAGGTCCGAGAAAGCTCGATTAAGCTTCTATCAACATCGTGCGGCAGCGTCTGTTGGTGCGGGGAGCGACCTGTAATTGAACGGCTCTCTCATGTTGGCTCTTATTTATGACTCCCACAGAGTAGAGTTTAGATCCTTGTAAGTACCGATAAAGAGGACGATTTGAATAATCTGCCTGCTACATTCCATGTCATCCATGGTTCCACGAGAGGAGCACCTGGCGAAGGATTCAGCTCTGTTACGCAAATCGGAAAGAGACCATGTATTGCGCATTCAAGCTGTCGCGCAGTCTACGCCATTGAGTCTCAAAATGCAGACCCCCACTGAGAACAAGCTGTGAGGATTCGCCAGCTGCAGAAAGCATTTGCGCGTCATTCTTCCAGGAGTTTAATGAGGTTGCGACTACGTTCCGGATGACTGGCAGTCCGATTCCGTGAACCGTTTGCGAAGGTATTCTTGTATACATATCTGCAAACATCTCGTGCCTCTTCATCCGAGCGTCGTTCCAGGGAGATATTCTCGAGAGCAAATAACGGCAGCGGCGTGTGTCAAAGCTTTGCTGACGCTCGATCAAGGAATCCAGCATGAGAGTCCCGATCCTCCTCGGTTGCTTCGCGTCTTGCTTCATAGCTGCAGCTTCGGAGGATGCAGTAGACAAATTACAGGTAGCCTTCGGTCCGGTATACTGCAGCGTGGAGTCGGTGAGTCGCTTACCATCGACGCACGTTTATCGGTCATCATCTTACATCAGTACTGTGACTAAGCCGTAAAATATTTAATGTAACCAGCTGAAATTCAAAGATGATCCGAACGTAGACGTGAGCATTCATTCGCGACGAGGCATGAAAGGGAAACATCGAAAATATCCGCCCACTCTCTGTGATAAACATCGACGAATTCCTGCAACAGCCTTCAAGCCTGGTCGATCCTCTGAAAGAAGTCATCAAGAATGCTTCGATGTATCCCCATATCTGACGAAATCAAGCTTCGCCCAATATCTGACGGAATCAAGGGGCCGCCAGATTAACGGACGGTGCGCTGTGAAGAGATGCGGGAACCTATTCGGGTGAGATGAAGAACGCGATCGAACGCTATCAGAAATTGTGAGCTCTCCGTATTCGCGTCCTTTCAAGCGAGCGATATCGTTCTCCAGCCCGAGGTCAGTCTACCATCTGAGGAGTCGACTCGAACTGAATAGCTGAATCCTCTCGCAGGATAAAAAAAACTTGATCGAAAAAAACTAAATTCTGTGAAGGCGGTCTCGGAGGAGCTGCAAGCAGCTCTCGTCGATACTCTGGACATCGCGTTCACCATCGCGGGCGTACTGAATGACGGCTTGAGTCAAAGCAAAACTATATCGAAGCTATTCATGCTCGGGATAGAAACGCTCAAAATCATGCTTTCCACACTCGCCAAACCTGTCGGCATCCTGCCTGAGATCGGTAGAGCCTCTCGGACATTCAATAGACTGCTGGTACCGGAAGCCAATAATTGGGCCGCAGCGGTCAATCCGGTCCTGAATCTGTTTGGCTTCAGATCGGAGGTATTGTCCGTTGAAGGACCGAGCTCTAGACTTCATCCGTTCTACGGAGAGGAGAGTCGTCAAACCGGTCGTTAACAGAGTGCCCTCTGGAAACGCCTCAGCTTGCGATGTCTAGGGTCTGGGGAAGCTTGTGTTCTGATCGGATGCTCAGCGAGATCGCTCCGGACCGGGCGGACCTCACGAAACTTCTCTGCGTCAGCAGGATCTTCCATTCAAGAATCTCCAGGTGCTCCTTCACTTCATCGATATCGGACTTTTGATTCAGGGAATTATTCCCGCGAGTGATCCGAGAAGTAGGCTTCTCGTGAGGAGAGGTTTCGGGCAAGCAGCGTCGGAAGACCCCCGGCTCCGTGTGTACAGAAGTTCATCAGGGGAGCACACAAGAGTGCTGAGGGTTTACATGAGTGTAGAAAACCACGCCGAATAAGTGGAATCCAGTCCGTGGTCTCTATCTCGGACCAATCGTCTGCGACGTTGACCGATGATCTGCTCTGGGCCGCCACGGAGCCTCGGGATGTCTCTCCCCCTAGATCGATCCGAGCTAGCATCGCGGCAAAGGTGCGCTCGCGACCGTTTTCGGTCACTCTGTCACAAAGGGGGGAACCGAAGCTAATTCGGTCGCATGAGTCGCAGCGTGGCTTTTCCTCTCAGCCTTGATCACGGATGCTCTGGCGTCGATCGCATCGATGACTCCAAAACTTCAGTCCCCGATTCCGGGAGAGCTGGTTGCCGCCACGGGAATTAAGACTTCATAATCACACTCTTCGCATCGCTAATTTATTCCATGTTGTCAGGCGGCCCTGTGATTTGCGCTGCAGCGTGGTCGCCCTTTCCTCGTTTCGCGATATGCCACCTGAGTCCAATAAAGACCTTTGAAAGCTTATTTTGACGTAGACTTGATCATCGTACTTAGTTTGGGGGAAATGGTTGAGGAATGGGCACTCGGTTCAATCATAGACCGTGTTCGCACTTCATCTTGCCTGCAAGCACTTTGATGTGGCTCACCAGGCTGCTGCTGACGATAGGCTCATCGAACAGCTTTGCTCCGCTGACCACTCTATCCTAACACTGCGTCAGGAAATTGCGTCAGGTACCGAGTCGCGAGCCGTCGCTGAGCAATGAAGCTGATGACATCGTTCGCTTCAATGCTCGATATTTATTAGCTGTGAGCTCTGACCCTTTCTGAGCGGCAGCCTTCGTGACTGTGAGACGGGTCGAGTACGAGCCGACCTCGACCTGAAAACGACGATCCCGACCGCACCCGTGGCTCGTCGTTAGCGCTCGAATGTTAGTTGTCGATTGATGGCCCTACTGCAAATACTCTCGGCTGAGGTAGATCTTCCCCCGGATTCCGTGGGATGTTCAGAGGCAGGCGGCGCCTCGGGAGGAAAACTCCCCTGCGCGCCGATGCTCAGTCCGGGACGAACGGTCTCCCACTGGAAATACATATGTACAGAGATCCTCGTCCGAAAAAAGTCCGTTTTCCGGACACCGTGAATGCCATCTGAAGCCTCGTCGTGCAGGTAGCGGATTGAAGCCGCACAATACGACCTGAGATCGCTATACCGGCTCCACTCCTCAACGAGAGGTCTTCTGAGATGCTCATCATCATCGAAATCGCTAGCCGCATGGAGGGAACAACAGACCGGTCTCTTTCCGGAGGCTCCATTCTTCCAACAAAGGAGCCTCGGAAAGACATCGAGACGGACAAATGAGGCTGATGGGAGAAGCTGGCGAGCGGTGGAACTCCAGGAACGCTCATTTCGGTTTCTTACGAGCTCAGCTGTGTCGGACCAACGAGCAAGAAGTCAGTGAGCGGGCAAACGAGCCACCATCGGCCGAACCAGAAAGACGGCTTTGCTCTTTAGTGTTTACGTTACACCGGCGGCGGAGCGCGGACCAGAGTTCATTCGAGTGTCGACCATGGCTGCGGCCAAGTGGATTCTAAGCGTGCTCCTCTTCCACTACATCGGGAATACGACCGGGGCCATAGTGAAGGAGGACGCTACTACTTGTGAGTGTCAATCAAGTGTCTGTCCTCCACAAAATATGCGTTTAAATTTATCGACAAATCGGTGCTGAGCTGTTCTCCCGCCTCTATCGTCCCAGTAAAGTGAATCACTTGCTCTCTCCTCGTCGTGAGCAGTCACATACATTCTCCTTCGCAACAATAGCCTGTTCATGTCGGCATGTGCTCTGAGGTTGATTAAATTGTTGTCCCGCCAGATTACCTGGAAGATTGCAAAACCCCGATCCTGATCAAGTTACACAAGGACCAGCCCAACAACATCGTGAAGTTGCGTCTTTTCGACACCTTTCCCACGCAGCCGTCCAAAGAATGCCGGACCGGAATCTACGCTTACGTCGATGAGTTTTATACGGCATGGCTCAATCGCAGTCTGAGTCAACATTTGAGTAATTACAAGGTGTTCGTGACTCTAGAGGATCTCAACTGGCCTTCGGACCGATGTGACCAAATATTTTGCCTGGTAAGTTTCCGCGGAGATAATCGAGGCTCAACTGAGTCGTCGTCTGAACGAAAATCATTCGGGTCATCCATCGTTGATTCCCCCAAAGACTCGTCTGCCACGGGATGACCTCCCCAAGGCACTCTATTTTCCAGGTGGAAGACGCGCAGCGGAACGGCTCTACAATGTGCAATGAGCTCGCAGATAATGTGTTCAGTTACAGATTCGATATGAACTATCGCAGGTTTCTGCCGTTGCACAAGGATTACCATCTCTACATGAGCGTGGCTGTCGCGTACTTGCCATGTGAGTTTCCCACTGACTTCAGGGAGTCCTGATGGGTTCGATCGCGGAATCCATCGTTCGATTATATTCAAACTCGCATGACCCAACAGATACACCAAATGCGCTGAACCGGCTTAAAATAAACAATGACGCATGAGGTGGGTCTTCGGTCCGTACCACACCTCAGAGGCAGATCGGCAAAATATTTATCTTAACGAGAAGAAACCTCAACGTAACTTTGCCTGGGCTCGACCCGATGCCGACGCAGCGGAAGACATACTCAGCTGCCCGGTCAGCTGCATCGATGATCCTCAGTTTCTCCGGGAGACAGATTCGCCCTGGGATATCAGCGAGTCGGAATATTCATTTTCTAGCCTCGTTTCTTGGTTTAAGACGAGATTTCCGCTTTCAGTCGATTCCGATGAAGGATGCCCGTCGAATCACTTTTTCCAATGCGCGTCTGACTCGCTCTGCATACCGTCCAGGTTTCGGTGCGACGATATAAATCACTGCGCGGACTCGAGCGATGAACTTTCTTGCGAACGGGCTCCAACCCCTCCTTTCGTGACAGGTGATAACTCTATTCGGTGGTGATTCTCTCCGAGAAATCGAATGACGTATTTCCTCCTACTCGATTTTTCTGGATCGAAACATGTCATTGATCTCGTTTACAGGCTCATCTCTAGAGGATCATGATTCGGAAGACTCGATTTCCGAAACGACTACGAGCTCGGAGGATTATTCGTCTGAAGAGGACACCGAGACTGACCCGATCTCAATGGTCAATCCGAGCGAGACAAGTACCGCTGGAACCTCATCGAATACTCAGCGCCCAACGGAATCGACGACTGTCCCAAAGACAGTGACTCAGAGAGTCCTCTTTTCGACCACAACCACCTCTGAATCGCCGAAGACGTCGACTGCGAAGGCGACAACCGTCAAAGCATCCACGGTGAAGTCCGTGATAGCACCTGCTAATGCGCCGGAAGGAGTGTCTGCTCCGAAGCCGACCGCGACCCCGAAAAAGACATCGACGCCGTCGAAATCGACAACGTCCACAGCACGTACAACAACTCCAACCGAGAATGCCGGAAGCTCGTCCGGAACGCCGCCTACGGAGGCATTCCCGGCAAGCGCGAGCCCGGATATGCCTGGTCCTTCGAGCTCAGAGTCGAGTCAAGCTGTCGTTCGATTTTCGTTCACCGAGAAACCGGCGATTCTGGTTATAGAGAGTAGTCGTGACGTACCGCCGACTTCCACGAGGGTGACCACGTCATCATCACCGACGTATCACCAGGTCCCCACGCACGAATCGACCAGAGCTCGTTTTTCGGAAATTGGAGAGGTCTCGACAAGTCCCTCGACTGGCCGACGAAAAGGGTCAAATGTCATCGAGGTGGGTTTGCTGGACGTCTCCGAGCGCATCGAGAGCACAGAACCGAGCAATGCCTTGGAGCCTCGCACGAGGATATCGCCCTCGAAGAAGAAAGGAATTCCGCATCCTTGGAAGGACCGACTGGATTCACAGAGCTCTTCGGCGAGAAATATCCACCCAACTCCGAACCGATGGAGTCTCGCGGCTACTTGTTTCATTCTAGTGTTCATCTATTTCTTCCTCTGATCTGGTGGAGGTTGTGATGCTCTCGGCGCGGCATGTCGGTCTCGTTGTAAATCTCGTGTATTTATGTCTCATTCAGCGCCAAATATCTCTAGGACGGATGTTGTGCTCTCGATATGTAATGACTTTCGATGATGACGACACAATAAACAGAGAGGGCACAATCGGTCCTTGAGCCATAAGGAAGGAATCCGTAGCGAAAGCCGCCTAGGGAGCGACCGGAGAGTGCGAGAGGCGCCTGTTTTCCTCTATCTTCCTTCTGGGACCTAAAGAGTTCGTCCACTGTTTACGTTTAGATCATGGCGGGTAGCAGTGGCTCGCTGACGCACCCGCGGGAGTCTCTTTGTTGACCTCTCCGCTTGAATACATCGTTTCCCTCATCAAGAGGGAAGTCCAGTGTTTGAAACTGAACAGCCGACGCGGAAGTTACGATCACGAGAACAATTTCTAGGATTCGCGTTGAAATATGCGACACAGAGCTCGGGAGGCACGAAATCCAGGAAATGCCCGCAGTCTCCTCCCTCGTGGAACTTTCCGTGACCTGAGAAATATCTTGGAAAATAGTGTTGCTGGAGAGGTCCATCCGCCTAGATCCGAGGCTCGAAAATCTTCCGAGGAAAAACGGGGCCTGGGCGGTTGGTTGGTGCTTCAGCGAGGAAGCTGGTGATTTCCCGCGGTGATTCCCCGCGACGACCTGCTGCGAAACTCGCAGCAAATCGTGCCCTCGCCCGTGACCAACCCCCGGATTTCGAATCAAATCTGTGCGGGTCAGTCGGATGACCATCCTGGCGTGTTCCGGCAAAAGCTGCAGCTATGATTCTAACGCTGAGGGATGAGCGAAACTTTCTTTCCCGTTTCCGATCCGTGGTGGAACGCAGATTCTGATCGAAGTTTCTCAGAGCTAGGTCCTCGACTTGGATAAGGTCGCATCTCGAGCGACCCGCATGCCCGTGTCCGAGCCCGAATTAGCTATGTTGACAGTCAATATGAACCCTCATTTGAATTCACCCGAGCCATAATGGAAAAATTACTTTCGATTCGTCTTTAAGACGATATTCTCAGACGGAAATCACTCGGAACAGCGCTCGTCGCTCCGAGATGAGAGTTTTCGTGGCCATAGCCGCGCTTTTCGTGCATGATGCGACCTGCGTAATTCAATGTGGTCGTTCCAACAACCGCTCCGGAAAAATTGTAGGAGGAGAGAAAGCTCGCGAAGGCGACTTTCCATGGCAGGCAAGTGCGACGGCGGAGTCCTCTCCGCTCTATTCTCTGCCGTTTTCTCTGAACAAAACGAGTGCTCTTGGCTCCGTGCTCTTCGAAATGATTGATGGGGCCGCCTGGGCGTTGATTGCGATGTCGATCTGATTCAAGGTCCAACTGAGAAGACATGGGACACAGATTTGTGGAGGGTCCATCCTCAGTGAGAATTTCGCGGTCACTGCTGCGCACTGCGTCCAGAATAATCCGAGCATCTATTCTGTGGGTTACGGCTCGCTGAGAAAATACGAGAAAGCCGAGGCTGTGCCCGTGAAAAGTATTCACATCCATCCCGGCTGGAAACCTAATCAGGGCCTATCGAATGATATCGCCATTCTCAAGTTCGGAGAGCCCATCACTCTGGACAACCGTAAAGCTGCTCCGATCTGTTTGCCACCGAAGGCATACAGCCCGTCTGGAAATCTCAAAGTCTCCGGATGGGGAAGGACTCGAGAGGGAGGGAGAACTTCGCCGGAGCTCCGATACGTCGTCGTGCCGATAATCGAAGATAGCCAGTGCTCCACCAGGTAATTCCATCCCTCTTAGAGGCTTCGAGAAAATGTGAAGAGAAGGGTAGGCTTTTCCCCCCATGTCATGTCTCCCCATAAAATTACAGGTATGGCCCGGTCTTCAACAACGCGTCCATGTTCTGCGCGATGTATCCGGCCGGTGGACGGGATTCCTGTCAAGGAGACTCTGGAGGGCCAGCGGTGGTCAATCATGACGGCGTTCATTATCTTTCTGGGGTGGTCTCATGGGGCGAAGGTTGCGCCCGCTATGGCGCCCCCGGAGTGTACACCCGCGTGAACGAGTTCACTCCTTGGGTCGAGGAGGTCGTCGCGGAGAACGGAGCTCCATCAGACCTGGAACAGATTCGGTCAACACTGAATGAAGAAACTTTGGAGAAGATCAAGTCGTCCAAAGTCAAGGAGCCTTATCTCACAACTACGACTCTCGTCGGCCTGATTCCGGACATCCAGAGCCAATTGCCCTCAAACCCGATTCCCTTCCCGGATTCGATCCTCGGTGTCGCTGCTCAGGTCAGCAACGCTGTGGGCTGAAGACTGATCCCTGTCAGGAATGGCTCCGAACTTTGCAATAAACTGATCATGGCCGAGAGCCCAGACCTATGCCACGATCCTCGTTCCTGGATGATCCGCGTCGGAGCACGTACTTTAGCACCATGGTCGGGAGCTGTCAGGGGCAGAGAAAGACGCCTATTCGCGCCCCTGCTCCCTCACAGGATCTGATCGGGGTAGCGTGATTCTTTTACCGTGACTGAAACGTTGTGCCACAGGATATCCGGGATATTTTCCCGGAATAAAATCCGAGACTGGATATTCGAACCTCAACTTTCATTTGAATAGTTCCACAAATCCTAGCACCGAAACTACAATGCCTCAACAATCGCTCATCAGTCCGTTAAGAATTTCTTTCTCTTGGCCTCGAGCCTAGCGTAGTCTTCTGTGTCTTTCCGCACGCTCGATAGCGGTAAGAACGCGCCTCCCGCCAGTCGTCCATCGCCATTCAGATAGTTGAAAGTTGCTATGGCATCTCCGGTAGACACGAACTCCATGCCGATTCTATTCTTAATGAAAAACTTCCGAACTTCGGGTGATATCATCGCAGCCCCTCGATTGCCTGGAAGTTCATTAGAGACAGTAAGATCGGATGTAATTTTATGAGTACAAGACGTATCGAACTAAATTTCGGACACTCGGGGCTGTCGGAACTCATCCTCGTCTCACCGTATCCTATGACGACCACATCGAGCTTGGGTTCTAGTTTGGAGAATAAAATTAACGACTCCGGAGTGATGTCTTGCACACCAGCGACGTTCCAATGGAGCACTGAGCGTGGAAACAGGATTATGGGCCCCAAGACGAAACCATCGTTGGTCAGTCGGAAGCCGTAGTCTCTGGAAGAATGATCGGGTTGGAGCAATGAGCAAACATATTCGATGTGATCAGCTCTCGTGGTGACTTACGTGTAGCTCGCAACCAGCAGTACTTCACGGTTATCTCTCTGCAGAAAAGACACTGTTGTCTTCGGATCGGCGTCGTAGGCGGCGCTGAACTGTCTACTGTTTTTGACGATACCATTTATTGAGCTCGTGAGGACTCTTCTCAACATCGTGGAACGATTCTAGAGCCTGACGTATGGTGAACTCGAAAAACTAATTTTCGTAAGTTAGAGAGTTCACGACTCGCGAGCCTGGAGATCGCGGATGAAGTTTTTTGTTTTCGTATTGGAGCAGACGACGGAAACGTAGATGTCAAGTGCGCGCGCACTGAATCTGATCGAGCCTCGCGGAAAATCACCGGTAGTCGGTGGACGGGGAGTCGAGTCTTGAATATTGAGCTTGTCGAGAGCGAGATGTGTGGAAGCGATGCCGTCGGATTATCTTGGTTTTTTCCTGCATCGAAATACTGTTCGTAAGAGATTCTCGGGGCGAGCCGCAGGAGTCGAGATTTCTCGCGAAATTCTGACCGGATCTCACGGCGCGGCGCATCGGAAAGCTCGTTGAGCTCGTGCTCGATCATTTCGACATTGTGAATGTGAGTCGGGGCGCCGCGGCGAGGAGTGAGCGATCGGCCGAGCTCGGAACGACCTATGTATAAAGATACGGGAAGACAAACTGGGGGTCCCGTAGCTTCGACTCCACGACCGAATATGACGGAAGGAGACGGGCAACCATCAGAGTATCCTCCGCAAGACGTTCCCCATCGTGCGTCAGTACCGAGGTTCTCAACCAGTCATAACTTGAGCGGTCCTGGAGACGCGAGGCTTCGAGATCGCCAGCTCAATCATGCAGGTACTCGGCCTTGATCCTCCTGGGTGCATTTGCTCT